TCAGAGTACTGGCAGCCGCCACTTACTAAGCACCTACTAAGTACCAGGCACTGAACACATAGTATCTCGTGTACTCTTTACAAGAAAAGACTTTTACAAGTGATGAAACTAAGGTTCAGAAAAGCTGAGTAAAACACTTTTAAAAATGCACAGTCAACATAGAAGACAAAACTAGGTCTGCTGACTCAGGCTCTTGCTCTCTGCCTGCACCTCCCAGGGCCAAGCGGCAGAGGGCCGGCCTCTATTTATCCAGCAGCCTGATTATGGCAGGCTCCAGCCTCTTGTAGACACTTCACATTGGTTTGTGGCAAACAGGCCAGCATGCAGCATGGAAGGGGTACCTGAACGCATGCAACCCTGCTATGGTCCTCAGTTGCCCTCCAGCCCTGTCCACGTCTCATTTTCCTACTATGAAAAGGCTTCCTGGTTCAACTGAGATCACGTTCTGTTGAAACTAACATCCTGTACATAAACGGTCCTTAGTGAAACATCTCTTTTTTCTATGCTTGTGGCTTTGTATGAAAGGTCCTGCCACTGAGTGAAATGTACTAATAAAGACTTAGTGGGGACTTCCCTGGTGGTCCAGTGGCTAAGATTCTGTGCGTCCAATGCAGGGGGCCCAGGTTCTATCCCTGGTCAGGAAACTAGATCCCATATGCTGCAATGAAAGATCTCACATGCTGTGTCTAAAAGATCCTGTGTGCTACAACTAGGACCTAGTACAACAACAACAACAAAAAGACCTAGTACACCCAAGTAAATAAATACAGCAAAAAAATTTTTTTAAATCAACGGTGTAGTTTGAATAAGCAAACAAATAGAGAGGATTGAAAACAAAACAAAACTAGTGACCTGGGAAACCTCTACCAACTGATCCAGTCTGGACCTGGGAACTACTGTTTTGTAAATGCACCCCTGGCTTCTTGAAGCATGAAGCTGGATCAGCATCCCAAATTCCATGGTACACATACTTTGAGGAAGCTAGATCTAGTTTGCTTTCAACCAGAAACCTAAGGGGATTATTCTTATCTCTGAGACAATCTCTGTTTCCAACAAACTGATTCTTTCCCTAAAATCAACACTTCTCCCTGCTGCACACCTGCCCAGGAAGTGACTGTCTCCCTGCAGTTACTTCCTGGGCTGGGGACTCCGCCCCCATAATGGTTCCAAAGGCTTTTTTCCTTTCTGGATAGAAGTTGATGTGAATGAGGAAAATAAATTCTCAGAAGCCCTTCAGTTTGGATGCCTTATTAAGGCATTTCCGTCTTTGCAGTACACAGACTTAAAAAAAAATATTTATTTTTATTTACTTGCTTGTTTGGCTAAGCTGGGTCTTAGTTGAGGCATACGAGATCTTTAGTTGAGGCGTGTGGGATCTAGTTCCCCGACCAGGGATCAAACCCAGGCCCCCTGCACTGGGAGGTTGGAGTCTTAGTCACTGGACCCAGGCAAGTTCCATGTGGATTTTTTAAAGACTACAGTACAGTAGCTGCTTTTATCTCTAAATATGATATCCATTCTAAACCTTTTACAAGAAAAAGAAAAACCAATGTTTTATTTAACCAGTGGAAAGTTATTTCATACTGAAGGATTATAATTTTGATCTTTAAAACAGAAGAAATCAATTTTTTTTTTTTGGTTTGCTCTATGAAACAATCCTTCATTCTGCAATTGACAATGTGGTTTGCAGAATTAGGAGCAGCCACAGAAAAGGGTCCATATTACCCACTACACTGGCCAGGCAGTACACTGGCGGGTGTGGGAAATGCCATCGTAACCAGCAGGGTGCGCTGTCGAGCAAACTGGGCCCAGAGCAATGAGCACAAGTCAGATTCCCTCTCCCCAGGGTTCAGATCTCACACTAGCTCTAGGCCAGCATATCACAGGCCAACATCTGAAACGCCCCATAGAGTCTCTTAATTGGTCAGAAACCTGCTGGAGGAAGGATTAGGTACAGGGTGTAAAGGTTTGTTCCGAGCTGCGGCTGAGTGATTAATTAGCACCCTGAGGACTTGTTCTCTCCAGGAGAACCCACTGACTGCGAAGGAAAAACTGCATTCATTCAGAAGGACCATGGTGAGCACACGCCAGTCCTGAGTTTCCAGGGCAGGAGTCCATAGGGACTACCCACAGAAGCATCTTTCAGCTCACAGCCCTCTCCGTTTCCCATAGTGCCCAACGTGAGCTAGTGCAAAACTACATCCAACATCCACCATGAAGAGCTCAAGGGGCTGTCAGTGGGCCAGGAATGAGGAAGGAAGGACCAGGGAAGACATTTAGAGGATGTTTCCGAGCAGAGGTTTGGAGGAGAGATCGTCCATAACATTTCATTTGGGTTGCGGGAGGGGGCAGAGAAACAGCTAAAATATCACTTTCATCAGCGTACAATCTGAAGTACTGAACAAAGGTCAAGGCTGACTCTAGTTAGCAAGGAGCCTTGGGGAAAACGTGCTATAGAGTCTGTGCAAGTTGGCACCTATTCATCTCTCCCAGGAACAATGCAAGCAGCAGAGATTAAAACAGAGGACTGAGGAGTTGCCGATTAACTGAAGGCATGATGATGAGAAATGGACAGCTTCTGGAGATGTTCAGCACACACCACCGGGAAGGGAGTTGTGCTGGGGAACTCTACAGACCCTTCCAATTTTGGAAGCATGGGTTGTCGAAATCCAGAGAGCACTAAAAAGAGGGCGAAGGCCACTGTAGATGATTTCAGATGCACAAAGCAGTGAGCAGCGGCTGGAAGCAAGACCTTAATTCCCTGGTCAGGAATCAAAGCCTGGTCACCTGGGTGGAAACCAGGAATCTTAACTGATAGACCACAGGGACCAGTGGCTAGAATCTAAGTCCCCAGTCCTTGTCTACCTTGAAAGGAGAAATCAAGCAAGGTGGGAGAGGAAGTAAAGTATGTACTAGAAAGGCAGAGCACATGGGCAAACTCGAGACAGTTGCTAGAGTTGTGCCTTTGGGAGGTTTAAAACCTTTGTAAGGGGCCAGTCTTCCGGGTCTTTGTCTGCTTCTTAGGCAATCTTCTTGTTTTGACCACCCCCCACCCCCCGCAGCTAATTTGTCTAAGGACCCTACCCTAGGTGGGATCATACCGCTCAGTGAAGATGGATTTCATCCCAGAGGCGTATGGGAGGCAGACGGCAAGATTTCCTACAGCCTGGCATCCCCTGCCTTTTTGGCCTGTTACATCTTTTGTGCAAGTGTAGTTTCTCCCTTGTCCCAAGGATGGAAATGTATGACCTCTTGATCTTCTAATAGGGCTTAGTTCTGTTCCTACCATAAAAGTGTCCAATGTCACGTTATTTACCCCATTCCTGTCGTTTCTCTTATCGAGCTGTAGATCTCAAAATGTAGACAGGAGTCTGATCACAAACATGTAGCCTGGAGCCCATTTGTCTCCTGGCTCAGAAAATGTAAACAGGGGACTGGGAATGAGTGTTGGTCCTGCAGCCCATCTTTTTGTCACCCTGGGAAGTGTGAACAGGGGGCCAGTTGTAAATGTCTAACATGGAGCCCATCTAATATCTCCTGCCTCATAGAGACTGAGGGAACTGCCATCAGATCATAACTGACCAAGCAACTTGATGAGAGTGATTAGTCTCTGTCCCTTGGAGACTCCATGAAGAAAATGAAAGTGTTAGTCGCTCAGTCGTGTCCAACTCTTTGCGACCCCGTGGACTGTAGCCCATTAGGCTCCTCTGTCCATGGAACTTTCCAGGCAAGAATACTGGAGTGGGTTGCCATTTACATTTCCAGGGGAACTTTCCAACCCAGGGAATGAACCCAGGTCTCCTGCATTACAGTCAGATTCTTTACCATCTGAGCCAGCAGGGATGCCCCATGCCTCCACCTAAATTGATGAGCTGAACTGTCAATCATGGTTAGTAATAAGCACAGAACTGAGAACTATAGCAAGAGACATAAAGCTTCATAAATCTAAAGCAAAGGTCTCAGCCTCTTAAGCATGTATGTTCTGTTGTATCTTGACTCTTTTTGTGACCCCATGGACTGTATGTAGCCTTCCAGGCTCCTCTGTTCCTGGAATTTTCCAGGCAAGAATTTGGGAGTGAGTTGCCATTTTCTCCTCCAGGGGAAACTTCCCACCCCAGGGATCAAACCTGAATCTCCTGTGCCTCCTCACTGTAGTTGGATTCTTTACCACAGAGCACCCTGGGGTCCCAAGAATGGCTTTCTTGACATTAAGAGAAGCCATTCTGTGATCCAAGAAGCTTAAGAGAAGTAAGGGAAGACAGGGACAAAGGAAAATCAGTCAGGAAACAAAGTCCTAGTTCCTCCCTGTCAAGGACTACACATACTAATCTGATACAAGTCTGCAAGCTCTGCAGGAACTGAGGCCCCCACTCAGGTGGAAGACGGAAGGACGATGCTGACCTTCCTGACTTCGTTCAACTAGAGCCTGAACTCTGTTGAGTTTTGTCCCAATTCTATGCTGAATCCCCCTCAGTTCAAGAGCCTGCATGAATATGCATGTGCCCCTAGCTTTAGCATAAATCCCCTTCTCTGGATCTTTGGCTTGGCAGTATCTTTTGGTTGACACCCAGCAAGAGGCAAACGCAGCTTTCAGGTACCACTCTGATAATACACACAGACACCATCCCAGGCCACCACTTTTTCCTCGGGCGTGGAAACACCCTTTCCCTCCCTGGATTCACACCATTCCCAACCTTTACAGGGCGCCTCAGGTCCCACTCCGACATCTTCCCAACAGACTTGTTTTCCACACACCGACTTCGCCCTCTGCTGAGCACCAAAAGCCTTCAGAACCAGTCCCCTCTCAGGTCGAGGGGGTAGAGCTCTCTTTCTGACCCGTGTTGGAGCACAGAGGTCAGGTCAGCCTCTGTTTGTTTGCAGTTTCTCATGGTTCTTGCTGCCGGCAGAAACCTGATCTTGCTCAAACGTCTTCCCCACCCGGTCCTCGCCGGCCTCCCGCCCTCCCTGGCCGCCCGCCCTCCCCAGCCATGTGATCTTACCTTTCTTCCCGCACGCGAGGACTCAGGAACCTGCTGGAATCATCCTCATGGCTGCTCTGCTGGCTGCTCTGCTGGCTGCTGAGCAAAGACAGGATGTGAACCGTTAACGTTCGCCTCCTTTCCCAACCCTGGGCAAGAGCGCCGAGACTCCAGCTCGACAGGGAAACAGGGTTACAACATTTTAAAGGTACACGTTCCCTCCCCCTGCCGTGGAAGTTGACACAGAGGGCAAAACTGGCAGGCAGTGGAATTGAGACCTTCTGAAAACCCCACCCATCCTACCTAAAGCTCCCGGGAAGATCCTGACCTATTACCTGGCTCTTCCCAGGCCAGTGTCATGGAGCAAGGGCCTCTGGCATTCTCTGTCCCTGGGCCTCTAGATCTGCAGGAGAGGGTAACAGTCCCATTCTTCAGCTGAGACGCACAGGTACGGGCACAGACAATGGGGCAGGAAGGGGAGGGGTGGCGGCGGGGAGAGGGGAATTCCAGCAGGAGAAAGACTTGAGACCTGATGGGACCTGGGGCCACCTGGCAGGATTCTTCGCCTCCTGGGAGGGCCAGCAGAGGAGCTGAGCAGAGGGATTAGAAGGTGAAGTCTCTCCTCTCCTTAAAGCCCTGGAGGCATGATGATTATGGAGCTTCAGTTCACAGAGTTCTTAAAAGTGCTTACTGTGGAGCCCTATACTAAGGTCACAAGATAAAAATCTCCACAATTACCCAAGCCCCATAGCAACTGTTGCCAGGAGCCTCCGGATCTAAACCTGCTAGTTCCTCGACCCTGTATCAGGTAAAATACCCACCCTATTACCCACCCTTCCAGTAGGAATATTCTCTGCCTTGTGGTTGTTCAGTTGCTAAACTGTGTCTGTTTGCAGTCCCGTGACCTGCAGCACGCCAGGCCTCCCTGTCCTTCACTATCTCCCAGAGTTTGCTCAAATTCACGTCCATTGAGTTGGTGATGCTAACCATCTCAGTCTCTGCCCCCCCCTTCTCCTGCCCTCAATCTTTCCCAGCTTCAGGGTCTTTTCCAATAAGTTGGCTCTTTACTTCAGGTCAGCAAAGTCCTGGAACTTCAGCTTCAGCATCAGTCCTTCCAATGACTATTCAGGGTTGATTTCCCTTAGGATTGACTGGTTTGATCTCCCTGCTGTCCAGGGGACTCTGAAGTCTTTTCCACCACCACAATTCGAAAGCATCAAGGCTATAAAAACTGGCTACTATCCTGTGAAAGGGGTCAGTTCTCCCATGAGCTGGTCGGCTTTTCAAAGAGCAATAAACTATTCTCTCATTCTGCCTCTGTCTGGAAATTCTTTTCCAAACAGTGCACATACCATGATACTTACTTTAAAGTTATGCGGAATTCAATAGTCATTTATCTTACGCAAGAGAAAGAAAAGTTGTTTGGACATCTTATGATACTAGCCGAACCCAAAGCTGATGATCAGTCATTTGTATTAAGTTCTCCAGGTATCTAATCAAGAGTCCTTAAACCATAGCTCCCTGGCCAAATCTGGAGCCCCTGCAGGCTAAGAATGGTGCTTGCTTTTTTAAATGGTTGGGAATTGAAAAAAAATTTTTAATGATAATAATATTTCATGACACATGAAAATTACATGAAATTCAAAATTATATGTCATAAATACAGGTTTACTGGAACACAGCCACCCTCATTCATTTACATAGTAATCAGGACTGCTCTTGCTACAAGGGCGGAGCTGTGTAGTTAAGGCAGAACTGAATTAAGTGCAGCAAGGAGGCCATTAGTCCCACAAAGCCTAAATATTTACTGTATGACCCCTTACAGAAAATGTTAGCAAACCCGTTTTGTATAAATTCTAGTAATAATAAATTGTTATTACCATACATGTCACTATAACCCAGGCCCAGTAGGACCAAAATTGTTCCCTTGTTCTGCTGGATAGTTTACAGCCATAAGAAGCACTGATCTCTGCACCGTATATTCCTTAGACTAGATCCCCAGCAGACAGCAAACTCTGAACGATCTTACAGGGTAAGAGCTTGTTGCAGTGCCCGCACACTTTCCATCAAAGAAGCAAGTGATTTTATAACCATGCTCTCATGAGCCCATCTTTCAGCAAGAAGCAAATGAACTCAGAAGCAATTTACAACACATTTTCAAATACACACACATGCACACAAACACACACACAGGCCAGAAATCAGAAAAGCACCACACTAAAAAGAAAAGCACCACATACGAAGCTTCCAGTTGCCTGGCAGAAAGAAGTGTGTACACAGAGCACCTTTTTGGTCACTCGCTCCCTATGGAATGGCTACGCGTCATTCAACTTGCCTTTTGAAAACATATACTCCACCATATATACAATGGATAGCCAGTGGGAATTTGATGTATGACTTAGGGAGCTGAAACAAGTGCTCTGTAACAACCTAGAGGGGTGGGATGGGGTAGGAGGTGGGAGGGGGGACATATGTATATCTATGGCTGATTCATATTGATGTATGGCAGAAACAACCACAATACTATAAAGCAATTATCCTTCAATTAAAAATAAGTGAATTGAAAAAAAAACTCATAACAAATTATACTATCATGTTGCTGACCCACTGGCCTTTTTTACATTGGGACTGATCTGTCATATGGATCAAGTATCTTCCTCTATACAACCTAAGATAGGTGTTAAGACTACAGCAGGCAACCCACAGATGACTAGAACTCAAATTCCAAAGCAGACCCATTATCAAGAGAGGAATACCAAAATAATAATATTAAAAAGAGAGAGAGAGGAATATCAGCCTACATTTCTTGCAGCACACGTGAGGAGAAGTAGGAAGGAGGGGTGTCTGGAGCCCAGTGTTTTACACCATCTAAAACCCAAAGGGGCTCCACCAACCCAATGACCACGGTCAGCACTACAGCCTCTTCATGGAAGAAATTAAACTTGACTCCATTTAAACTATAGTGGGCTGTTCTTCCTTCTCACCCTACCTTCCCTTGGGCTATCAAAACTGCTCAGTCGTGTCCGATCCTTTGTGATCCCATGAACTATAACCTGCCAGGCTCCTCTGTCCATGGGATTTTCTGGGCAAGAACAGTGGAGTGGATGGCCATTTTCTCTTCCGGGGGATCTTCCTGAACCTTTGTTTCTGGCATTGGCAGATGGATTCTTTACCACTGCACCACCCGAGAAGCCCAAAAAAGGAGCTCCCAGAACTAAATGACAAGAACCAGGGTTTCAGAAAAATAATTCTGAGCTGATATTAACAAGTTATCCCACTAGATGGCACTGCCGTCTTCCAAACCAGAACCTGAAGGCAGCCAAACCATCCAGCTTCTGAAACCAAAACTAGAACCAACCTTCTGGCGCCCCCTTCTGGCCTTCCCATTGCTTAGAAAACAGTTCAGAAAGTGGAGATAAAAGCAACCATGGATCACCTTCAAACTATTTATTGGTTCTAAACAACTAAGAAATATCAACTGCATGCATTCAACAAGTATTTATAATGCCCTCTATGTGCACATATATGAAGAAGAGGCAGCATCAAGGTTAAGTTTAGACCTTAGAATATTCTGCCTCAGATTATCTTTCACTTCCTACTATCACGACTCTGAGCAACTTATTGAACAGTGTTTTCCTGACCTACAAAATGAAGACAGATGTTATGACAGTTCTTAACAATCATAAGGATTAAAGAATACAAAGCTATTCTAAGAATTAAAGAAACATCAAGAACAGTGTTTGGCACATATTAACGGCTGTGTGTGTGTGCGTCGTGTTCGACTCCTTGTTACCTCATGGACTGTAGCTCACCAGGCTCCTCTGTCCATGGGATTTTCCAGGCAAGAATACTAGAGCAAGTTGCCATTTCCTTCTCCAGGGGATCTTCCCAACCCAAGAATCAAACCCTTGTTTCTTGCATCTCCTGCGTTGGCAGCCAGGTTCTTTACTAGTCGGGCAACACTGGAAGCCATTGACTGCTGTAAAAATGCTATTATTATGTGTAAGGCATCATTTTGTGGGTCATGGAAAATAAAGACATGAATCAGACAAGGATCTCTGTCTGATCTCAAACATCTCTCAACATGTTTACAATCTGGAAAGTAAGAGTCAGTATAAACTACATTCAAAAGTAGAAAATGACAGCTCTTAGAAGTCAATATTAAATGCTACAGAAACAAAGCCCAGAGAAAGAGCATTTCCTTCCGGGGCTGGTAAGAGAAAACTGATTCAACAGCAAGGGTTTTTTGCTGACACTTGAAATTCAAACAGATTCAGGATGAGCAGAAGAGAGGGTTCTGGTTCAGTTCAACTCACCAAACGTGGACCACATATTAATTAATTAATCCTCACTGAGTACTGCGATGCAGCAACAGCCATAGGATGAAAGGACACAGGTCGCAGACACTTGTGCTGGGGGATTTGAGGTGAACGTGAAATAGGAGGACAACAGGTAAATCCAAGGCAACAACCACTGCAGGGTGCACAGGCTCCTTCCCCCAACAGGAGGAGCCTGGTCCTCTCTCGTCCCATTTTCAGAACATGTTTTTCCCCCACCATCTTTAAAGGTGAGATAGAGGCCAACCACTCCCATCCTCTACTCAACTCCATGAAATGAACTTTGTTGAGCAGAATTTCCAGAGATTCAGATATGGCCTATCTCTCAAAGAAAACAAAACACCTCTCAGCTCCTCTCTTATATGAGCCTTTTCAAATGATACAGGCCACCTGGACACTGGGCAGCCTGCCCTGGCCTCCACATCAATCTGCCAGGCTCCTGAGGTCATGAAGAAAAGCTACCACCACCACAGGGTGTTTAGAGAGGCGTGTGGGAGCCTGGGGCTTCCTGGTGGCTCAGCGGTCCGTCTGCCAATGCAGGAGACACAAAAGACAGGAGTTTGATCCCTGGGTGGGAAAGATCCCCTGGAGGAGGAAACAGCAACCCACTCCAGCATTTTTAGCCCACTACAGTCCGTGGGGTCACACAGAGTCAGAAAATGACTGAAGTGACTTAGCAGGCATGCATGCACGTACAGTGACTCCATTTCAGTCAAGGCCTCGGAGGGGGAGGTGACCAGTGTGGGTTCTGCTGTGTAAGGA